ACCGTATCCAGGCCCTTAGTTCTAGCTCCCTGAGCAACAAAAGTTAAAATTAAAATGGAAAAAGCTCAAGTGATTTTTTTGCAGGGAAAAAACTAAGGATTGGTGTCCAGGTCCTGAGTTCTTGCCCAGTACCAAGACTGACTAAATAAATAAATGAACTGATATGGGAAACCACTATGTGTGTTTGAATGGAGAACAGTTAGGAATCTGAAGCATCCTGGTCACATGCTTTTTCTCTCATGCCTTCCCCTAACCTGGAAATCCCCAGAAGCTACTTTAAGACTTGTGAATAGAAGCTTGAACACCTCATTTCTAGAAATAAAATTGTTGGGTAGCCAGCTGCTTGTAATCACAGTGTTTGTGGTGCTGGAAGCACTGCTATTCAGAGAATATTTTAGTGCTAAGCTCTCCTTGTGTTGCTGTCATTAAAGACAGGTTCCCTAGTCCCTAACTTTCCCTGCTTGGATTTCTGGAATGATCAGCAATGTGTGTGTGTGTGTGTGTGTGTGTGTGTGTGTGTGTGTGTGTGTGTGTATGCCAGTACTGATACTTGAACTGAGGACCTGGTACTCTACCTAAGACTTTTTGCTCCAGGCTACAGCTCTAACTCTTGAACCACCCCTTTACTTCTACTTTTTGGGTGGTTAATTGGAGACCAATTGATAGGTCTGTGTAGAGTGGCTTCCATCGGTCTTCAGATCTCAGCTCCTTGAGTAGCTAGGATTGCAGGCCTGAGCCTAAAATCCTTTCTTATAGTCAGGATGAATGAAGGCCAAAGAAGGTAGAACAGAGTGATTCAGTCCAGAGACATGGGAACTGACTCCGCTAAAGTTTCCCTCCTGGTCAGCCAACCTCCATCTCTCCTTCTTCCTCTCTTGTCAGATGCTGAACTTGTAGCAACAGCTCCAACCACAAGCTAGTTACTATATACAAATGATTCACTTGCAGCCTTCTGGTCTCCTTTAAAGAGTCAGCTGTCATGCGCTGCCCTGTGACTCATGCACTCGGGCTCTTTTGCCCCAAGGAAATGAGCACTCAAGATTCCTGAGTTCCAGGCCCCTCCTAAAAGCTAAGGGAGTCATGTGGCTGCTGTGATGATACAGAGCAGAAGCATGCTGGCTGGCAAATTCCCAATTGCTGCTCAGCCAGAAGAAAAAGCAAAACAAAACAAAAATTTGCTTCTGAGCAGCAAAACTAAGAGATGTGGCTTTCATTATGCAGGACAAAAGTTAAGTTGAGGCATAAAGACTATCTGGGAACTAAGGAGTATTTTGCGTGTGTGATTCCAAGAGTGAGAGAAAGCCTTCCATAGCAATGCTTCTTACTCTATATTGTGTTTGAGGAAATGTAAGGCTTCCAGAAGCTCTAAGAAATGCTTCTGAACTTTTCATTCTCTGACTAATGAAACTCCACCACAGACTCTGTGTGTGTGTGTGTGTGTGTGTGTGTGTGTGTGTGAAAGAGAGAGAGAGAGAGAGAGAGAGCTTGTATGTGTTTGTAGGTGCTGTGGGCCTTCAACTTAAGGCCTGCCTACTATCTCTTAGTGTGTCACTCAGGGAAGGCTTTCAACCACTTGAGCCACAGCTCTACTTCAGGCTTTTTGGTGGTTACAGCTAAGAATTGGAAGGACTCTCCAACCTCATCTGGCTTGGAACTGTGATCTTCCCATCTCAGCCTCTTGAGTAGGAAGCACTGCAGGCAGGAGCCACCATGCCCAGCTAAGACTTTTCATAATTGCCTGTTTGTTGTTGTTTTAGTTTCAAAAGATTGTTTTCCAATCAGCCATATAGCAAACTAAAAATGTTTATGTGTTGTTGTTGTTGTTGTTATTGTTTCACAAAGAATTGTGACAAGTGCTGTGATTATAGGTATGAGACACTGTGCCCTGCTAATTGTTAGTTTTTAAATGACGATTTCATAGGAATTGCAATCTTTGGTAGCCAATCTTTTATACTCATTTTCTGAGTTCCTTCTCAACAGTGCCCTTTTCATGATGGAATTAAGTCACCTGTCAGTTGCTTTTTTGCCAAAGCTTCATACTGCTGAGGCCACAGACAGAGGAATCACCTACTGCCCAAGAGAATTAAGCTAGGATGTGTCGTTGGCAGAGACCTCTGCTAGCACCTTTATTGATAGGCTTTGAGAGTTGATAATTCTATTGATAGCCATCAGTGGAATGAACAAGGATAATACATGTTTTAAATGTGTATAAGAGCTAAGGATCCCAGGGTTGTGTTATTTTATGTAAGCACAAAAGTAATTGGTTAATCAAATATGAATTCTAACCTGTACATTGTTAACAACCATTTTATAGATGATTTTATTAATTACTTTGTGTGTGTGTGCATGTGTGTGTGTGTGAGGTGTGTGGGGGGGGGGTATGTGTGTATCTGTGTAAGTCAGTTTTGGAGCTTGAACTCAGGACCTTGAGTGCTCACTTGGCTTTTTCATTCAAGGCTGTAACTCTACCATTGAGCTACATCTCCACTTCCCGCTTTTTGGTAGTTAATTGGTGATAAGAGCATCACAGAATTTTGCCAGGGCTGGTTTTGGACCATGATCCTCAGATCTCAGCCTCCTGAGTAGTTAGGATTACAAGCATGAGACATCAATGCCCAGCATTAACAATTAATTTTATAAGATAATCAGTTACTATATTTGTCACAGTTTTATATAGTCTTAATGACGTCTAATTAGGCTTACAGGATATTTATCTTTAAATAAGGACTCATCACCTGGATAAATGTGAATGTAAACTTAAAATTAAGCTTGTGATCAAAATCAACAGATCAGATTCATAGAATATCCAGATTGGATTTATAAATGGGGAACTAGAAATACAGGTTAGCTTTTTGAAGGTAAATACTAGTTTTATTACCTCACTAGGATAAATTGGAAATATGTTTTTGTGTTACCCCTTCTCCATTCTGGTCTATTTAGAATGACTTTAAGAGAGTATAATAATGTCCCTAAAAACAAAGCTCAGGAAAATTTAATTTTAAAAATGTTCCTGGCAGTAATTTCATGTGTAGGCCAGCAGATCAGTGATCATAAGTCTCAACTGGCCAATTCTCACATATTTCGTGCATCCATTTTATTAAAAATATTGTCCAAAGCTTTTTTAGGGACTATTAAAAAAATAGCATATTCTTTGCTCCTAGGAACTTGAGGTCTAACTGGGAAGACAGTTTATGAAGTGTACAAAATTTGATAACCGTTTAAACAAATAATGCAGTTTAACGAAAGAAAGTGTTAAGGCATAACATCTACATACTTACAAGTGAATGGCACACATACAAATAGGAGACAGAACTTTTGAGGCAGATGTAACCAGAAAAGAATTTACTGAATAAGTGAGATCTGAGCCAAATCAACCAGTAATAATTTTACCAGTTGTGGGCTAGAAATAGAAGCAAATCATGTTTGGTGTTTGGGTTTGACAGCAATTCAGGAGGTTGCCATCTGCTCCTTGGCCTACATTCACAGCACCAAAGCTTAGGTCTCCTTTCTAATTTAGAGTTTACTAAAAGCCATTTATCTAAATAGGATGGCCCCTCACAATGGTGTTGTGTTTTGTAGAGCCTGAGCTCAACAATAGATACATTTGTACCTTGCTACCTATCTTCATGTAAGAAATAACCTGTACTTTGAAGATGTACATTCATAGATTAATCCTTTTCTATGATTAAATTGATTTGATCTTCACAAGGACTAGCATATTTTTATTGTCCAAAAAAATTTTATTCATTACCTGACATAGGGAATTCTAACCTGTCTGTATAACACTTGAATAATAACAATAAATTTATATTTAAAATATTTGAAAGCTGCAATCCAAACACAAATCATCTATAAGGTGTGTCTCCCCTGTTTAGAACACTAGTCATTAAAATGTTAAGATCGCCTTACAGTATTTCCAAATTATTTACTACATTCTGAATATCTGTGAGGAATAAATACCTCATATTATATAACTGGTAAGAAATAATGATGACTGGCAGAGGTCAGAACCCTATTTAAATGCAGGTTCTGGAAAACTAGAAGTGGAGCTGTGGCTCAAGTGGTTGAGTGTCAACCTTGAGAGAGAAAAAAATAAGCAAGAAATTCAAACCCCAATACCAGCACAAAACTTTTTGATTAATTAATTAGTTAATTAATCCTTTTTTAAAAATGAAAATGCAGTTTCTGCTGGGCACCAGTGACTCACACCTGTAATCCTAGCTACTCAGGAAGCTGAGATCTGAGGATCATAGTTCAAAGCTAGCCCAGGCAGGAAAGCTCATGAGACAATGATAGCCAAACAAGGTAGAAGTGGAGATATGGCTCAAGTGGTAAAGCACTAGTCTTGAGCACAAAAGCTTGGGGACAGCACCCAAGCCTTCACTTCAAGACCCAGAACTAACATGCATGTCTGTGTGTGCATGCGCACACACACACACACACACACACACACACACACACACACACACACACAAAGGTAGGTTCCAGATGTGATGGTCTAGTGTAAGGCCCAAAGATCTTTTTTTTTTTTTTTCTGTCGGTCGTGGGGCTTGAACTCTGGGCCTGGGTACTGTCCCTCAGCTCTTCAGCTCAGGACAAGTGCTCTACCATTTGAGCCACATCGACATTTCAATTTTCTGGTGGTTTATTGGAGATAAGAGTGTCACCGACTTTCCTGCCCAGGCTGGCTTTGAACTGCGATCCTCCGATCTCAGCCTCCTGAGTAGCTAAGATTACAGGCATGAGCCACTGGTGCCCAGCTGGATCTCTGTTTCTAAGAGTCTGAAGAGGCAGATGAGGCTGGTCTGTGCACTCTGAGCAGGAAGCTTGCACAAAGAAGATCAGCACCGTCTCTCCATGATAAGTAGATCTTATGGTCCTGTGCTGCTTAAGAAAAGTAGTTATGTTATTAGACTTATATTTCATGTGCAATGTTGTTAGTTATATTGTATACAAGCTTTGTCCTTTGTTCTCACCCAATGTTGTATCTTCACTTTCAGCACGAAAGCAGGAGATTATCAAAGTGACCGAACAACTGATTGAAGCTATCAACAATGGGGACTTTGAAGCTTACACGTGAGTACAGATTTAACTTGCTGTCATATGCAGGGCAAATATGATTCCTATATGAATAAATTCTTCAGAACTAATGAATAACCCTATATTTATACTTACATTTAACCCTAATAGTTCCCCTAAAGTTTATGCTTAAGGTTATTCATTTATAATTTAATGATTTATTTAATTTAAATAACCTTAAGTTTTATATAGCAACATTTGTCACATAAATGGCCAAAGGGCTGTAATGAGAAAAATAAGTGATTTGAGGTTTCAGGGAGCTCATATCTGTAATTCTAGCTACTCAGGAGACTGAGGGCTGAAGATGTTTCGAAGACTGCCTAGCCAGGGAAGTACCTCCAATTAACTACCATAAACAAATGAACAGAAAAGGTAGAAAGAGAGCTGTGACTCAAGGCTAGAGCACTAGGCTTGAGTGAAAATGCTAAGGGACAGAGCCAAGGGCCTGAGTTCCAGTTCACAGATGTACTACACAACACACACACACACACGAGTCAGGTACTGGTGGCTCACACCTAGCTACTCAGAGGCTGAGATCTGAGGATTTTGGTTTAAGCCACACTGGGCAGGAAAGTGAGTTTGGCTGAAGTGGTAGAGCAATAGCTTCGAGTGCAAAAGCTTGGGACAGTACATAGAAGAGACACAGAAACAGAGGGAGGGAGGAAGAGACAGAGACAGACACAGAGAGACAGAGAGATGGGGAAGGAGGAAGGGAAAAAGAAAGGAGAGGAAAGGAGAGGAGAAGAGAAGAGAGGAGAGGGGAGGAGAGGAGAGAAGAGAAGAGAAGAGAGAATATTTCAGAGAGCAATGAGATGATCCAACTTTTGATCCAAGGATTAGAGGTGTCTTTATAAGTGAAATGTCTTTGTGGCACCAAATGCGGGAAGATAAAGAAATCCAAAAGAGCAAAGACACCAAGAACAAGCAAACACATTTTAAAACAATGCATCTTGGTCTCTGTAGTTCCACAGAGAGACAGGGACAGAGGAAGAAGATCGATGGTGACATCAGCTAGCCACTGTCTTCAATCCGGGCAGCTCAATGTTATTTCTGTCTAGCTTTCATGAGCTTTTCTCTTAAAGGGAATTGTATTCTCTTTTCTTTCTTTTTCCCTCTCTTAAAGAGAAGCAGCAAGTTGAATGCTTACCTTAAAGAAATTCCTAGATTGTGAGTTATATAGTAGATAAAATTGCAATGGAAATTGCTTTGCTCTGAGCAGAAAGTGTTCAGTACAAATAAGGTATGAAGGCTTACTGCAGCAAAAGTATATGAGTCAAAGAGTTACCTATTCAGGATTTAAGGATATAGATCAGTCTGTGCCTTCACCTTACCCCATAAACAAATTTAGTTTCACTTTAGTGAAATAGTTGAATGCAAAAAAAACAAAACAAACAAACAAAAAAATTACAATGACTTTGAACTCTACTTAGTTAGAAAGGTGTTTCTAATTTTAAAATCTGAGAAAGTGACCTGTTGCCAATGCTAATGCCCATAATCCTAGCTACACTACTCATGAGGCAGAGATGCAGAAGATCAAGATTCAAAGCCAGCCTGGGCATAAAGGTTCGTAGCACTCTTGCTCCAAAGTAACCCGCCAAAAAGCTGGACTGGAGGCGTATCACAAGTGTTAGAGTACCAGCTGAGTAAATCCAAGGTCCTTTCACCATAGTAAATAAACTCAGGGAAAGTTATCATGACTGTGAAGATAAACTGATTCATCTGTTTAAATATACAACACTAGATTAAATACATAAAGCATATGTAAGTATATAGTATATGTACAGTATATATAGCACATATAGGTATATATGCTTTAAATTTTTAAAGTCAATAGTAATTAATAAACTTAGAAAAAATTCTCAACATGTGTCAAAAGATAACCTTTCCATATTGAGCAGAAAAGATCAACAAGTAGAAAAACAGTTAAAGGACATGGAATAACCATTAACAAAAGAGGAAATAGTACAAGTAAACGTTAAAAAGCACACTGATACCCATCACCTAAACATTATACAAAACCTGCGTGCAAAGGCATCACCTTACAACCAGAGAGACAGAGATCGCCTTGACCTTCCTCAGGACAGACGCAGTGGAAGTGGGTACAAGCTCTCATGATGCTGGTGGAGACAAGAGTGGAGGGACTCAGAGACCTTATGCCAGAAAGCTTTTGCATAGGTTTAATTTGCTTTAGTCCTCAATTCCTACTCATGAGTATTTAACGTGAGCATTGATCCTGAGTCCAAAACATGGATACAACTTTATGAATGAAGATATACATGGAAGTAGTATTCATAGTAAGAAGCTTTGGGGGAAAAATGTGTGTAAGTCCAACAGTATGGTGTCTGTCAAGTAATGGTGGGTGGTTTTATTTCTATGAGTATGTTTATGCAGGGTTTCTAGTGATTTGGCAGAGTAGTCAGGATGAGTTTTGAGGGAGAGTTGTTTCCTGTTTTTTGTTTTCTGTTTTATTATTATTATTATTATTAATCATTAGACAAGCCCTCATTGTGCAGCAATGTTGTCCTTAAACTCTTATTTATCCTTCCTCCACCTCCGGAGTGTTGGAATTACAGGTGTGCACTACCATAGCTAGCTACTTAACAATCCTTTTGCTGCATATATTTTTTGTTGAATATAAAGCAGGATATAAAATTGTGCACACATACATATCGCAACTATGTTAGTTAAAAAAATGAACAATGGCGTGAAATATACCAAATTGTGTAAGAACTTCAAACAAGATTTCTGAAAGGAATAAGGTATATGTAGATTTTTTGTCCTGCTTCTTTCCTATTCCTTCCAAATTGTATATAAACCGGAGCTGTCTTTTCCCATTATTTACAAATAAATAGCTTTATTCGTTTTCTGTCATTGTAACAACCTACCTGAGGCAATAAACTTTTGAAGATGAAAGGTTTGTTTGGTCCACAGTTTCAGAGGCTTTAGACCAACTAGTCCCATAACTTGGTGTCTGTGGTGGCATAAGTTATTCTGCCAGGGATATGTGGCAGCAGGATCCTATTAACCTCATAGCCAGACAGTGAAAGAGGGAGAAAGAAGAGGGACTGGGGTCACAAAATGCCATTTAAGGGCACGTAGCCAATGATCTAACTTCTTTCCACTAGGCACCACCTCCTTAAGTGTTCTATCTCCTCCCAATAACAGTACCACAGGGGCCAAGCCTTTACCACATGAGCCCTTGCAGGAAATTCTAGCCTCAAACTATCACAATAGACAAGTGCAAAATACAGAAGAGAGTAGATAACTGTAGGAGGTAAATGCATGCAGGCTAATTACTTGTAAATTAGATTGTGTACATATACATACTACCACACATATGCATGTGTTCACACACACGCACTTATCAACTGTTTTTAGCATGACCTAATAAACTACCCTTGAAATTTAAAAAATAGTAAAACCTGGGTTAAGAACTCTGTAGTCAGAGCAAAGAGTTCTTGTTACACAATGGTTTATAACTCTGTGCCGTAGAACATGCATTTACTCTTTCTGCTGGTAGAACCTTGTTAGACCCTTAAAGAATACATTCTTAAAAAATTATTTATTCTTGTATAGCTCAGTTGGTAGAGCACTAGCTTTGAGAAAAAGAAACTCAAGGACAGCACCCAGGACCTGAGTTCAAACCTTAGGATAAACAATAAATAAATAAATAAATAATTCTTTTGAAATGGAATGTTGTTATTACATGGGAAAAAGCTTATGCTTTGTTGATTTTTGATTCGTGGAGAGGGAATTAAAGCCAGGAAAAATTGGAATGATTTCTGTATTGATAGATAACTTGGATATTTTAAATAATACAACACATTGGAGGCACACCACCTCACTATTCCTTTGCCTAGAGAAGCTGTGCTTTCAGGCCTAGATATAATCCAACAGGACTTCTGATTGGAAGATTTTTTAATGGAAGAACGTATCGGTATCCTGTAACTCAGCAGGTCCACAAAACATTTGTTCACAGAGTATGCACACAAATGCACAAACACATACACTCGGAAAATCTAAAAATCTTTGAACCTTTTTAAAATATAAAGCCTATTATGGACTATACATGATAGAAGAAAAGATGGATTGATGTAGATAGATGAGTAGATGAACAGACACATGACAGATAGATAGATAGATAGATAGATAGATAGATAGATAGATAGATAGATAGATAGATAGATAGATAGATAGGTAAGAAAGATTTAATAAGCATTAACTATATTGTCTCTATTGAAACCTGGATAAAGATATATCATAACACAGTGATTTCAGATGATTTTGGAGCTATTGTGAAGTAGAAAGAAATTTTGATTCAGCAATTCTGACAACCCAAATCCATATTTGTAGAGAAAACAATAGCTCCAGGCAAAATAAATTCCTGTTGCCAAAGAAACACTATTTCTATTTTGTTCCTTAGGAAGAGATTATATATATTTGATTTGAGCCCAACAGAGAACCAGAGACAAAATTTATAATCTCACTCCCGCCCCCAGATTTAAGGCTTTCTAACTACAAAGGATAATTGATGTGATTTTCTATGTTAAAATTGTGCTTCATACTTGTTCCACATTGTGTGAATAGTACTGCACTTTTTGAAAACAACTAACTAAGTTAAACTCTGGAAATACGTTTTCTCGTTGAATAGTTAAGAAATTTTGTGCCAGGTGTGGTGGTGCATGCTTTTAATTCCAGAGACCTGGAAAGTGGAGATCATCAAGACCATTCTTAGGCAAAATGTTAGTGAAAAAAAATGTATCTTAACAAATAAGCCAGGCTTTGTAGTTTATGGCTGTAATCTCAGCTCCACAGGAAGCACAGGTAAGGGAAGTGTGGTTTGAGATCTGAACTGGGCAAGAAAACAAAAACAAGACCCTGTCTGACAAACAACTAAAATAAAAAGGAATGGAGCCATGCTAACATGTTAAGAACTTATGTAGCGTAAATGAGTCTATGTTTAAATCCCAGTACCACAAAAGAGAGAAAGAAAGTAACAAGGGAAAGAATAAACAATAAACTTTGCCTGCTAAGCAGAGATTTCTGTGTAATACTAGAAATGGTCCCATTGACAGTATTGCCCTTTGGAGAAAATTAACAAACAGGTCCAAATCCTTTCATTTGTAGTATTTTATCAACCTTATGAATTCTCACTAATTCTCCAAATCCAGGTTTGGTTATATTCTCTGTAAAACCTACCTTGGTCATCCTAAGCAGAAAGGATCTCATCTCCACCTTGTTTCCATTGGGCTTAGTATCCCAGTGGGCACCATATTGAAGGGTCAATCACCACCTCCCAAACAAAACCAGCAAATTCTCAGAGATGCTATCCACCTGCCCTCTGCATTCCCACATTCCATCCAACTCATTCATAAAAACCCAGCTCAAATTTGCATTCCTTCTCAAATCTGCCCTAGGGAATGTTATCTCGAACTTAACTACTTTGCATCAACTTTTATTTTAATAGTAGTTATTGTGTTATAAATGCTTGTTTGGGAAAATATCTGTTACACAGTAAATAATTCAACAGTTCTTTATTAAATAAATTTCCCTAAAGAAAGCCCAATGGCTTTCTCTGAATATTTACAATATTTACCGCTTTGTTGAGTTTCACTGCTGAGATTATAATGAAAACCATTATGTGCGTTTGAACCTCCTACTAATTTTCTTTTGAAAGTACAGTGAAGCTCAAACAGCTTCCTGGACAGGAGATGTGATACTTTCCTTCCTATCAATGATAATATTGTTAGACGGTACAGTTCATCAAACATTATTCCAATAATATTCAATTCTGGAAAGTGAAAAGACTCTACAGGACTTGGAGAATGTCTTAGACTTCAACTAGGAGAATATTTGAATATTTAGAAATCATTTTTGAGGTGGTAAACTTCAAGGTTAGAGAAAATTGGAAATTCATCTTGAAAATTAAGAAGTAAAAAAAAATTGAAAAAGGAGTCTTTCCTACTTGAAGAGACAGAAAGTTTTGTCCCTATCACAGTTCTCTGAAAAATGTTTGTTAGAGATATTGTTGACCCATCTTACCCTGGTCTATGACAAATATATGGTTTGGGTGCTTTTTAGGGATTCTTTCCTTCAGAAGATGGAGAAATATGAATATGAATGCTTATGTGAAAATCTACAAAACTAATTAGGCACATTTCTTGACTGATTGTTTTCCTTCCTGCAGAAAAATCTGTGACCCAGGCCTCACTGCCTTTGAACCTGAAGCTTTGGGGAACTTAGTGGAAGGGATGGATTTTCACCGATTCTACTTTGAAAATGGTACATTTATTCCAAACCCTCTGTAGCCTGCCCTTTCCAATTGCTCTGCCAACTTCAACCCATTTTCATATTCTTTGGCTCTTTTCTGCCATGAAAATTTTTGCCTTCAGCCAGTATTTTTTTGTGTACTTAAAATTAAAATTATAAATAGATAGGTAGACAGACAGACAGACAGGACAGACAGACAGATAGACAGACAGACAGATAGATAGACAGATAGACAGACAGACAGATAGATAGATAGATAGATAGATAGATAGATAGATAGATAGATAGATAGATAGATAGATAGATAGATAGATAGATAGATAGATAGATAGATAGAGTGTAGGCATATACATCACAATATAGTCACATGCATATACCCAACTAAAAAGTTTGGTATTTTGAAAAACAATTGCATCGCATAAAAAGTAATATTGACCAAAAACATCCATTAAATCCTAATGAATGTATTTCTTTTCAAAGTAAAATGAAAACAAAGGAGCATAATGAGAAAAACAAAAACAAAACTTTCCATTCATACTGCTTCAGTGGTCTCATAGGGCTTTAGTGGTCTCGGGGGAAGCAGCTGCATTTCAGAGGACGATGGCAAAGGTTTGTGCACTACAAAAATCCCTCAGGTCATCAAGAATAAAGTAAACCTGTAATTCCCTTTATCCCTGTCTTCTTTAATCCCAATGACAGTATTCAACCACACATCATATTTATATATGCATGGAGTGAATGTAGTCTCTGTTATATTTATATGGTGCATGGAGTGAGTTCAGTCTTTCAGGGGCGAGATGTCATTATAGGAATAATAACAGGATAATTAAGACTACTCTTAGTGACTAGGTGTTAGCAAGAATATCTGGTTTTTAAATTCAGATGTACTGAATGAATTACTTTTTCTTGTATACACTAGGCATTTACAGACAAGTTGAAAAAAAGTCAAGTGATACATTCCCATTCACAAAGCTTCAGTAAATGTTTTCAGCCTGTCTACATTCTAGCACTCTGATGAAGCAGGCCCTAGTCCTCCCGACTCTCAACTAAAACATTTCATCAGTCCATTAACATTTTAACCTATTTCAGCATAACTATATTTTATTACATTGCATAAATATACATTCTTCATTATGGGCCATCTTTTTTATTTTTATTTTTATTAAAAAATCTTTATTAAACAGAAGGGTTTACCTAAGTCAGGCAAAGAAGAATACATTTGCTTTTCAGCAATGTCACACCTTCCTTCCCTCTCTCCCAGTTTTTCCGCTCCCATCCCACCCACATTTTCAACATGGTGTCCAGTGAGTAACGTTGCTACATTTTAAAATTTTTTTAATTTGTTATTATCTTTGAGTAGTTGCACAAAGAGGTGCCACATAACAAAGCACTTTATGAATACAATGCATCACGCCTTCAACCTTCTCCCCTCCCCCTTTCAACCTACTCTCTCTTCCCTTACTTTTCTTAATTTTATCATATATACAATAAATTCTTATTTGATGATCATAATATCTTGTATAATTGAACAGTTATATCTGAGAAGGGGAAGCATGTTTGAATAACAGCTAGAGCAGTTCCATCCATTCTGGTCATCTAAATAAGAAACACCATCAATGAGTAATGGACACTAAATTTTCCAATCATTTTATCACTTCATAATCCTAATGGGTATGGCTCTCAAAACACCAGCGTCTGAAACCTGATAAAGACTACCTAAAGTTTTCAAAAGAAAACTAGAGGGCTAGAACCAGGCTATGTGGTCAGCCATGTATTGTCACAAATAGATGAACACAGCTGGAGACTGGTGGCTCACGTAATCCTAGCTACACACACACACACACACACACACAGTGGACAACCACAGAATGGACTCTCCTGCATGGAGCAGTCACAGGATGCTATGCAGAAACCAATACATGCCTTGGCCAGCGTTTCTTGGGGAGTGATCTCCATGGCTGATACAATATTATTTCCCTCTTCTCATCATCTCCATTAACAAAACCCACCCACCACAAGCTATCATAGCAACTGCCCCAGTGGGTCCTCCATTAAAATATCAGGAACTGCACCTAAGCAAGGCACTTAGTATAAATAAATTAAGGAATGAACAAGTGGCATTCCATTTTGTGATCTCAACTGAACTTATGACTGATTTGCACAGTTGATACAGAAAGTCCTTTTGTTGTTGTTGTTCCTTTGCATGGTGTTCGCTTTCAGCTTTGTCCAAAAGCAACAAACCAATCCACACGATCATCCTGAACCCCCACGTCCACCTAGTGGGGGACGATGCGGCCTGCATCGCGTACATCAGGCTCACGCAGTACATGGATGGCAGCGGGATGCCAAAGACAATGCAGTCCGAAGAGACCCGCGTGTGGCACCGCAGGGACGGGAAGTGGCAGAATGTCCATTTTCATCGTTCTGGGTCACCAACAGTCCCCATCAAGTAAGTAAATGTCACTTCCTTGTCACTGTGTCAGATACTTCTAATCACCCCCACGGTTGGTAGCATGGTCTGTGTTATTTACTGCTGGTGTGGGTTACCAGTGGAAGCTTTTTGTGAGTTGAGGCCTGACATGGGCAGTACAAGATCGTTTTAGATAGGAACTGGAAGCTACCCTACTAGAAGCTAATGCATTCGTTTACCATAGGGCTAAATTGGGTGAATTCGTATGATGGGGCAAAATATTTGTTACTTCATTTTGTTTCATTTTTGTGCCCATATTGAAGCTGGACCACAGGGCCTGGGCACTATAGCTTAGCTTTTTCACTCAAGCTGGAACTCCACCACATGAGCCAAACCCCCACTTCTGGCTTTTTCCTGGTTGGTTGGAGATAAGAGTCGCACAGGCTTTTCTGCCCTGGCTGGCTTTGAACCATGACCTTCAGATCTCAGCCTCCTGAGTGGCTAGGATGGCAGGCATGAGCCACCAGTGCCTGGCTGTGATTTCATTTTCACAATTGGTAGAGGAAGAGGGTAAGGGAGGAAGCACAAAGAAGGGTTTCTGATATGGCCAATGTACTACCAAGAGCTTTTGCTTCCTACACTATCCCTGAGGTACTGACGCTAGGGAAAATGTGCAAAGCAATATGTAAAAAGTCCATCCTACCTTGTGTGGAAGTATGTTCTCACCTTGCCGCTTAATTCAGTCAAAAATCAGAAGAGTGCTTATTGTACATCATCTTGGTGCTCCTCCTGTTCCAGATACAGCACGAGGTAAAAGACATCGCCTTTAGGGAGCATCATTCAGTTTAGAAAGCAACTAATCACTGCCACCACAAAGAGCTATAAAATGATATTTATAATCAACTTCCTGGTGGAATGAATCACCAACGTGGCCCAGTGTTTATAACAGTATGGATATAGACTTTGACTATAACGTAGAATTCTGAATGAGATCTTACATGATAAGTGGAATTTGAAGACATGAAAAGATCGGACAAAAGGGAGACCATCAAAGGAGCATTATGGGAAGAAAGGAGTGTCAGGACTCCAGTTAGCATGATAAAACATAGTAGGTAAAGGAGGTTCCAGCTAGGTGGAAGGAGATAGGTGGTTATTGGCTACATAAGGAGATTGGAGAGGAAGCAAGGAGGGGAATTTAGAATTGGTTGGGAGAACTTTGCCCACTGTTGATTTCTTTGAAAATTCTCTCATCAGAATCTGGATCTCTTCTCTTTTCTTTCTTTTCTTTTTTCTTTTCTTTTTTTTGTGCCCATACTGGGGCTTGAACTCAGAGTCTGGGCACCTTCCCTTCCCTTTTTCTCTCAAGGTTGGTGCTCCACCACTTGAACCACAGCTCCACATCTGTTTTTTTTGAGATAAGAGTCTTGTATGCTCAATCTTTCTTACCCAGGCTGGCTTTCAACCGTGATTCTCACTTAGATCTTAGTCTGCTGAGTAGCTAGGATGACAGGCACAAAATCTGACAGGCCTGGTAAAATCAGTATGATAATACATGATCAGCCACAGTGGTTTACAAAGGCCTTCTCTCTAGCCTTAATAATCATATATCATTGCTGGATTTCTGCAATGTGGGTCAACAGAAGACCAAAAAGTAGACTAAAATTTATTCCTAAGTGAATAACCATGTTATCAAGAGGAAAACAAGAAGGGAATATGAAGAAAATGAAGACACCAACACTTGTGTGTATCTGGGCTTATTTTACCTCAAAGAGGAATGGACACAAATTGCCAATTAATACAGGTGGGGTTACATTTATACAGTACTACAAGGCTAGGCTCTCTTGCCGTTCTGGGAAGTTTAATGGGTTAGAGCCTATTTAAGACAACTTCGTTTTATGCCAGATGGCTTAAATGGGCTTCTCTTAATAGGCCACAGTGTATTCCAAATGGGAGAGAAAACTTCTCAGGAGGCACCCCTTTGTGGCAAAACATCTAAGGCCTGAAAACCATTCACATTGGGTCTTGTAAGTAATGTCCTGCTCTGTGCTACTTGGTGATTGGAGCTATGGACTGAAAAGTTGCATGGCTGTTTCTCTTCCCTTTGAAAAATATTCGCACTGCATTATACTCAATGAAACACCTACCAGGTCTTTGAAAATCCAGTGCAATTTTGCATGAGCCCTAACATCTAACAGTGAGCACCATTTTAGAGCATAACCCTTACTTGAGAGGTCATAAGTACCTTTTCTCAGTATTTGGATTGTATCATTCTAGACCTCTGGAGTTGCCATGTCAATAGTTGGTTATGTATGTCTGGTTCAGCTCAGACAACTTTCAATTATCCAGAGTAAGTTATATTAAGTTTTAGAGCCTGTTGGTGTCTTAATTCTTTTTTCAGAAGTTACCATTACTGTAAGCAATTTGCAGTGGTCAGTATGTAAATGAGTGTAATACATGCTTCTGAATGTGTGATGGTTGTCTATGATGACAATCACAAGAGAATCAACCTAAAATTTAAAATGTCCAAAATGAAATAATACCAAAGGATAATTGAAAGTTGACTATGATTAAGTTTATGTTCATGATGATGGATTCAAAGACATATGGGTTGGAAATATTTTTTGTACTCAAAGATGACCTCTAAGCTGGGCACCAGTGGCTCATGCCTGTAATCCTAGCTATTCAAGAGGCTGAGATCCGAGGATCAGAGTTTGAAGCCAATCTGGGTATGAAACTCTTATCTTCAATAAACTACTCAGAAAAAGCTGGAAATGGCACTGTGGCTCAAGTAGAAGAGCACTAGCCTTGAGCACAAAGAGGCTCAGAGACACTGCCCAGGCCCTGAGTTCAAGCCCCAAGACTGGACATAAATAAATAAAGGAATTACATCAAACCTTTAAGAAATAAGTTCTCAGCTGTTGCTGTACAAAATTAAATACAAATAAGTACTCTTTTCTCCATCTTTTAGACTATATCTCTTGCTGAATTGGCTTCAAGATTGATTTCCTAAGTAGTCTAAAAACAAGAAAAAGCTCAAGATAAATTTACACTATGAGTGTGTTTCAACCAAATAATATTAATGTATTAAATCTGTTTAGTAACTATGAATGCTGTTGACCCTGTCTCTTTATTTGTGTGAACAAATAGACAGATCATACCGGTAACCTTTGTAAATACCGTTTTTGTTAAACATTGTAATGCTCTCGACTAAAAAGTTCTTATGCCTAGTGTTTTCAATCTAATCTTCAGCTGAGTTATGAAAAGCCTAGCTTTGTCCCCTCTGTGGCAAAGCAGTTTGATGGTACTTCGTCAACCCATATAACTTATTTTTCCTCCCCTTTCTTCTTTCAGCTAATGATCAACAGTGCCACTTCCGCATTCTCTGTTCTCAAGGCACCTGGAGAGTAACCTTGGACCGTCCTCTCCTCCTCTTCATGCATGGTTCTGAGTGCATGAAGTTGTGAAGGTCCTCGTGGCTATGTGATCATCACCCTCTCATCTATTCCTTCCTATACATTGTTTACACTTCAACTACCAGGCTGGGATGCCCAAGGCAACTTCAGTTACTGTTGGCAAACAATGGGGGGAGGTCAGACACACCAACAAAGAAGTCCACAATATTCCAAGTGCAACCTTTTCATCAACTTATTTTGTGTATGCCAAGATTGAACAGACTTAACATTTTTGTTGTTTTCTGAATGACAGCAAGTATGAGAAATGCAAAAAAAGAAAAAAGAAATTTAATTCTTTGCTGTTAATCTGTTTTGATTTTTCTTATTCCTTTCGTTTTTTTTTTTTTGCAAGGCAAACACACACACACACACACACACACACACACACACACACACACCTTCAGTTTCCTAGTATGATCCTGGTTAAAATGGATGGTTCTTTTATGAGTGTTTTGTTGTTAAACAATTAAAGTGGGCTTGATATATGAACAAAATTACATATGAATGTAGAAGAAAGAATGTCCTGGTGAGATACTATCAAAGCCATGTTGTTTTAGTCAAACTGTGTAAACTGGAAAACAAGTCATTTACAAGTTTGATCATTTCAGGGCAGATGCACTATTCTGCTGAATTCACTAAGGTTCTTTTTTTTTCTTTTTCACATCTTTATGTTTTCTTCACTTATCCTATTTGTTTACTACTTTTGTTTGCTTTTGAAATCTTCTTTTGTTGTTGTTGTTTTCTTTCCGTCCCCCATTCTTTATACTTATTTCTGTGTTTGGCTGGTAGTATGTAAGAGCAAAATAGAAGTGAAATGTGTGCGGTGAAGGTCAAGTAGAAATGGAAGTCTTTTGGAGAGAGCTAAACTAGCATTTTTGATCTATTTAATTCTGCTCAAGCTCTGATTTAGCCGTAGGCATCCTAAAACATGATAGAGCTATTTGGATTGTGGAAACTTCAATAAAAGCAAGAAAGTCCCTGCTGTAAGTGAGGAATGATCTTTCTCATTGGGGCAATTGCCAGAAAGCCAAGCCAAGAGGAGATCAGAGTTTTGTGCAAAAGCTCCCTTCCACCTTGCAGAATAGGAAGCCCCTCCTCCCTGCCTGTCATTGAGCTATCTTTCTAAAATTAGAGTGCTTAGCAATGTTTTCCATTTTCATACATGTTTTGAACTTGATCTTTGTGACTTGGGATTTTTTTTAATTTCTCATTGTTTTCCTCTTCTCTCTTAAGTCAGAATATTATTGTTTTCCTCCAAGGAATTAAGATTTTTTTCCCCCAGTTTCAAACAAAATGAAAAGGGAAATGTCCCAATTTTTTTTTCTTCTATGCTTCTTTCTCGTCTTTCTTTGTTGAATGAATTTCCTGTGAGGCTTTTCCTCTTCCCTGCAATACTTAATAGTGCATGGAATCTCCATCTGACTTATGTTATCCATAATCACCCATACTCCTCAGAAACCTATTTTTAAAGCAGAAGCAAAAAATATAAAAATAAAAATAAAAAAATTTAAAAAATCAACAAAAAAACCCAACCCATCCCTTTTCTCCGATGCTACCTTTCTCTGTTGATTACGTATCACCGTAAATATTGTTGCTAGTGGATGTATGTAGCTGGGTTGAAGCTTTTCTGATAATTATTACACAAATTTAAAACAATATATATTTAAAATGAATATATACAGTAAATGTATTGAGCCATGTTAACCTGCCAATGAGATCTGTGAGGAAAAAAAGAAATGGCCTCATTTCTTTTCCCTTTATAATTTCTTTCACCTTTTTGTGAGGCGGCTCCACGTGACATTCATGTATTTAAAATTAAAAAGAAAATAGGTGTAGAGTGTTTCTTGTTTTTTACACTTTGAACTTAGCATGTGGTGTTGAAGTATTATCATAGATCAAGTTTGTCTTCCCCACTGCAATGTGAGGAAATTGTGATTTGTTCTCTCCGCCACAATTTAATTACACATTTATTATCTTCTATCATTTTGAAACACTGCAGTTTACCATGGGACACTGTATATATTTCTTGCCATAATGGTAAATGATTGATTGATATATTTAAGAGTTAATAAATTTGTGATTTCTGCTGATGTATGTGTCCATCTTTATTTCTTTCTTTTTACATTGATTTATTCTATCATTACTAACCTTAAGGAGTTGTACAAAGGAATTGCCACCCAACAAAGAAGAGGAGGGTATGGTATTTATGTGTGGTAAAAGACAATGCCAAGGGCAGAGTGTCCTTCAAGGATTTTATTTAGTACCAAACAATTTGCCCTTGGGGAGAATGGCAAGCTAATTGTTCTCTGCAGCATAAAACAATTGTCTCTCTAGGGGAAAGTCTGCTAAAAGAAAAAAAAAATCAACAATGAAAAGACCAGCCATAGAAATTTCACTTGACTGTTGAGATGTTCCTTGGCTAACTCCAATCTGAGCAGACAGTGATATTATCTCTAGTACATAGGCAGCACCAGTCACTTCCACCTGTCTACCCCACACTGTGAACCTGAGTGGACAGAAAGCTCAAACTGTTTTACATTTCCTAACAGTACCGCCTGCTGTTTCCTTCATAACTGTTTATGCTGTTTATGTTGCTTACCTAGAATGCTCTGGCCCTGCTCCATTAGCCTGATTCTTACTTATTTCTTAAGGCTGGGTTTAGAGTGTCATCACTTCCAGCCAATCTCCTTAGGCAGCGCTCCGCCTTGCTGTCCTTCTCTGTAGTTTGTATTTACTATCCTATAACCATTGTTTTAAATATATATATTTATAACACATAAATGAATAATAATATATAACATATATTATCATACATTTTATATATTATATAACACACACACACATATATATTCTTTACATAGTGGCTCACACCTGTAATCCTAGCTATTCAGGAGGCTCTGATCTGAGAAGTACAGTTTTAAGCCAGAATAGGCAGGAAATTTTGTGAGACTCCCATCTCCAATTAATCAGCAAAATGTTGAAATGGAGCTAGGCTCAAATAGTAATGTGCCAGCCATGAGTAAAAGTGCTAAAGTATAGTGCCCATACCTTGAGTTCAAGCCATATTACTGGCACAAAAATCAAAGATATCATCTCTCTATCTATCATACATCCATCGATCTATATTTCTGTCTCCTTTACTAGAATATTACTGGACTATATTAGTATAGAGAAGAACTATATATTTATCCTTTTATTTCTAAAACCAAACCAGAGGAAGCGAGGGAGTTACCATTAATAAATAGCTGTTGATCTGAGGCTGTGGTGAAAGTAGTAGCCTCAGAATATACTAGGTTAGTCCTGGCTTTCACTTTGGGTTCTGTGGTGGTTGTCTTGATAAGTTAAGCACATTGTGTCTTCTCTCCATAATCCTCAATTTCCATATTTATATAATGATACAAGACATACTAATTTAACAAGAACATCCTGGGGATTTGAACTAATGGATACAGAATTCCTGAACTATTTGATAGGTATTCGTAGCAGCTCTCATGGTTGGAATCAGTTTTACTTGCTTAGAAAGGTATCTAACTCTTGTGGTTCTGTTTACTGCTGTTAATAATTATTCAAAGAAGCTCAGCAGGAAGATGAGAAGCGCTAAGTGAGGTCCCCATCTTTCAGAAAGTAAAAGGTGGAGCCAAATGAACGAAGACACGCTAGGAGGTTCTCAAAGGATATTAGTTTGAAGTAACTGAAAAATTGAATCTCCATGCAAAGAATTCTTTATGATGCAAGGCAATTTTCACCAAGGTAATTACATGTGATGCAAAGAGAAGTTTAGAAGACACAAGTTGGGAGGGAAATAAATTTTTTGTGCTCTCCTTTTGTCGGATTAACTATTAAAGATAATAAAAAGAATGAAAATAATTGCAAAGTAAAATAGAAAATATCGCTGGAAACAAGATAGAAAAAATAGTAACAAATAAAACCAACTATATTAAAGTAAAAAATTACAAAAATTAAGAATAAAAGGTGTGAATCTATAAAAAGATTACAATGAAAACCAGCCTATGTGGCCACAGATCTTTGATTAATCAGTAAGTCTTCTTAAACTACCATGGCCTGTGACAGCAGAGTCAAGTGTTTACAGAATTTCAGGCCTTTAAATCAGAAAAAAATAAAAATAAGTAAATAAATCTGCAAAAGGCATGTTTTCTCAGACTAGGGCTGGCAAGATTGATAACAGATGGACATTTTTAGATAGGATGTTAACTGATAACAGATAAGGTCACTCACTATTTGACCCCAAGAAATGTTCTCTTTTGAAATGTTCTATTGTTTTGTAACAACTGAAACTTTTCTGTGATTTATTCATAACAAGTGTTTTTACCTCTTTAAAAAAAAAATAATGAGCCAGGCACTGGTGGCTCATGCCTATAATCCCAGCTACTCAAGATGTTGAGGTCTGAGGATTGTGCTTCAAAGCAAGCCCCAGGTAAGAAAGTCCTTGGGATTCTTACCTCCAATTAAGCACCAGAAAACTGGAAGCGGAGCTGTGGCTCAAAGTGCTAGAGCTCTGACCTTGAGCAAAACAGCTCAAGGATAGCCCCAAGACCAGAGTTCAAGCCCCATGATTGACAAAAGACAAAAAAAATAAAAAGTCACATGGAGTTCCTGGTTTCAAAATGTTCTATGATTCTGTTCCCTTAGACCAGTGTTTATGGTAGTAGTAGACCTAGTCATAAGGGCAGATGCCCTTGCTGCCACCGCCCCAACCCCCACTGACAAATGCTTGCTGGGCTTTCCTGACAGCCCCTATGTGGACACTGAAGGGTTTGTTTGACTTTATTGTTGTTGTTGTTGTTTGTGTTGGTCTGGCGGCGGCTTGAACTCAGGGCCTGGGCACTACCCTTGAGCTTTTTCACTCAAAGCTGGTGCTCTCCCACTTGACCATAGATACAATTCCAGCTTTTTGGGTGACTAATGAAAATAAGAGGCTCTGGTTTGTGGACCCTAGATGACTTTGAGCTGTGATCCTCAGATCTCAGCCTCCTGAATAGCTAGAATTACATGTCTATACTTTTTTCTCACTCTCTGACTAGCCAGCCTTTTCCCCTCAACCTTTCTTTGAAAGTTTTGGAACTCGTCTTTTTTCTATCCTTATTTAATTCTCAAATAGGCTCCAGCCCAAATCAATTCCCTAAACTCCATAGTCACATCCCACATTCTATATGAAATCTATACTATAGATCCAATAGTGGGGGATGGTAGGGGAAAAACAAAGGAGGAGGTAACTATGCTTGATAGGAAATGAACTCATTACCTTACTCATGTAACTGTA